GGTATATATTTGGGAATTGAAGAAAAAGTAGTAAGTAACAGCTATAGCTAGATAGCAGGATTTAATCCATTATACTTTTTCCATGGCTTCTTCCTCTCCCCCATTTCTGCAATGACCATGTATCACTTCATAGCATAGCCAGGAAAGGCAATCGATACACCCACATGCTCAGGAGGAACAGCACCAATGAGAAAGAAACGGGCTTGGCACTCCGCAGCCTGCTTCTCAAAGCTGCAGCTCCCCCCACCCCGCCCCCCTGCAGCCTGCCCTTCTCAGAAAGGCAACCTTCCCAGACAAGTATTGATCTCCTTTGGTTCAAAGCTAGGTCCTGCCTGGCTTCCAAGTCTGCTTGGCCACTGTGGGGCCAGGAGATAGTGCGCACAGAACTCCCTACTTTTCTAGACCATTACCTCCTATCCACTGTTGCATCCACCCATGCCTGGTACCTAGTAGAGCCCAGCCAGCCCCGCTGACATAAGGTTGGAAAGAAGCCACATCCCAAGCTCAATGGAGAAACTGAGACAGTACGACAGTTAATAGCCAAGGTATCCATGTGAGACAGGAAGGCCTGATTAAAGTTGCAAGAGGTGGGGGTCTAGGGCTGGACTCCTGGAAGCTGAAGGAAACACAGAGACAGAAAGGAGTGGACACTGGAAGTGGTGTTGTGGCTGAAGTGGTAGAGTGCTAGCCTTGAGCTGATAGAGCTGAGGGATGGCGCCCAGGCCCAGAGTTCAAGTCCCAGGACCGCCCCCACCCCGACCCCCCCAAAAAGAAGAAAGGAGTGGATACACTTAAAAGACAAAGAAAGAGGAAGGGAGGGGGCCAAGGAGGACAGGGAGGCAAAGAAAAGGTGTCACACAGTGGTCTCTGCCCAGCAGAGGCCCGGTGGACCTAGAAGTGGGAGGGCCCACCATTCACCTGCCAGAATCACCCCATAGGTGCAGGCCTATGCCCTAGGCACATCCAACACCTACTTGTACCCAGCAGACATGGCGAGGCTGCTGCTCAAATACACACTCCTCTAGCCTTGGTATGTGTATATGTGTGTACGTACGTACCCCTAAAATGGCTGGAATCCAAGCAACAATGCTGAGTGCTGTCCCATGGGTAGGCTGCCCTGACCCTCTGTCTAGAGGAGCCCCAGGGGAATTGCAAAACCTTTATCCGCTCCGGGAAGCCTAGCGCAGAACCCTGTCATCCGTTGAGGGACAGCACCACCTAGTGGACAGGAGACACTCCTGCCAGGCCAGGCCCCCTTACCATACCACTCTGCTCCAGGGCACGGGGCTGATCAAACATTGCTTGGTCCCTTCCCTTGCCTATGTAACGGAGGTACCAAGCTTTGGCTACCTGGGTTAACTATGATTTGCAGGAGGCCCTGAGAATCCCCAGGTCTGTGGGTTGGGGGAGAAGGAGTGGCTGTGCCTAGAAAAGCTTTACCTGTCTTCTGCTATTTTGTGTGATGAAGATACCGCAAACAAGCACAACTACACATTCAGTTTAGTCCCTCCTTCTGGGGTTGTACATCTAAGGCAGGAGCTTATATTTAGGACTATGCCTTGAAGCTAAATGGCTCTCTGCTAGAATTCTAACCTGCCACCTCTCCATTGACAGAGCAATTGCTATTGTTAAGGAGTTGTACAAGGTGTTACAATTCTATATGTCCCTATCTGGACGTTTTTTTCCCCAGCAAGGCAAAGTTTACTTCCATTCAGGATATGTGACTGGCAAGCACCCCTACATGGACTTTCTTTTTGGTGGGTCATGAGGCTTGAACTCAGGGCCTGGGCACTGTCCCTGAGTTTTGCTCAAAGCTAGTACTCTACTACTTTGAGACACAGCACCACTTCTGGTGGTTAATTAGAAGTAAGAGTCTCACAGACTTTCCTGCTGAGGCTGGCTTTGAACAGTGATCCTCAGATCTCAGCCTCCTGAATAGTTAGGATTACAGGTGTGAGGCATCAGAAATTGGTTTCCTTTTTTTTTTTGCAAATAGTCCCATTGAGACTTTTAACTAAAGCATAGAAGCTGGGGGATGTGGCTCAAGTGGTGGAGCATTCCCCTAGCCAGTATGAGGCTTTGAGTTCAAACCATCCCAGTACAACCAAAAGATCAAAAACTTTTCTTTATATTAACCATCTGGTATGTACTGTATCAGCTTTTCTTTCTTTATTCTCTCTCCCCGCTCTCCTATGTGGCATTTGAACTCAGTGCCCAATACTTAATAACTAGGTAACGAGGTGCTCTACCACGGAAGCCATACCCTAAGCATTTTTCTTTTTGTTTTAGGTATTTTTCAAATAGAGTTTGTTGCTGGATCCAACTGTACTTCCTCTTTAGCTAGGATTACAGATGTGAACCACCGTACCCAGATTTTTTTTTTTTTGTCAGTCATGGGGCTTGAGCTGGACCTGGGCGCTGTCCCTCAGCTCTTCAGCTCAAGGCAAGAGCTCTACCACTTGAGCCACAATGCCATTTCCAGTTTTATGGTGGTTAATTGGGGATAAGAGTCTCGGACTTTACTGCACAGGCTGGCTTTGAACTGGGATCCTCAGATCTCAGCCTCCTGAATAGCTAGGATTACAGGCGTGTGGCACTGGCACCGCCAGCTTGTTTTTTGAGAAAGGGTCTCAATTTTTTTTTTTCCATCCAAGCTGGTTTCACACTATGATCCTCCCATCTTTGCCTCTCACATGGCAGGGATCACAGGAGTGAATCACCATGCCTGGCTCTCTATCAGCTCCTTCTTTTTGGCAGTACTGGGGCTTGAACTCAAGGGCCTGTACTTGCTATGCAGACACTCTACTATTTGAGCCACACTCCCTAGCCCTTTTTTGCCTTCATTATTTCTCGAGGAGGGTTTCACATGTATGTGATCTGCCTGGTTACACTTCTCACATGGCTAGGATGACAAAGACCACCACACCACCTATCAATTGACTGAGATGGGTAGCCTCACATTTTTTCCTAGATTGGCTTTGAACTACAATCTTCTGCTCTCTGCCTCCTGAGTAGCTAAGGTTATAGGCATGAGCCACTGGTACCCAGCTACTAGAACCTTTTGTTAATTTTTGAATAGGGTCTTGCATATTGCCTGGGCTAGCCTGTACCACGATCCTGCTCTTTATGCTTCTGTGAAGCTAGGATGACAGGCATGCACTGCTATTCCTGGCTTTTTATTATTTTAAGACAGAGATCCCCCTCCCCCACAATCTAGCCTTGAACTGTGATACTCCTGATCTCAGCCTCCCAAGTAGCTAGGATTACAGGCATAAGCCTTTTTGTTTCTATACAAACATAGGAGTAAGTGTATGTAGCAGGGCATATGTGGTATATGCCTACTCTGATATCCAGTCCTACAATTTACTTTGATTTTTTTCCATTAAGAGCATCCCACAAGGGCAACTCACAAGGGGTGTTCTTACCACACCAGCTCAAACAGGAAATTCAGGGCCTCATAACCACCAGGGAAAGAAGGTGAGCCCCTAGGAACTTACAAGGCTTAGGTTTTCAGGTAGACCTGAAGAGAGGGCCCATACTGGAAACCCACACTAGCCCTGGAGGAGAACGTGCCTGGCTCAAGAGACCCTGAGTGCTGGGAAGGTGGCTCAGTGGTAGAGCGCTTACCTTGCATGCATGAGGCCCTGGGTTTGATTTCTCAGCACCACATAAGCAAAAAGAAAAAAGCCGGAAGTGGCGCTGTGGCTCAAGTGGTAGAGCGCTAGCCTTGAGCTGAAGAGCTGAGGGACAATGCCCAGGCCCAGAGTTCAGGCCCCACGACCGGACCCAAAAAAAAAAAAAAGAGAGAGACCCTGAGAATGTGGAGTTGACTGTACACAGCTTGGTCGTATTGTTGCTTAGCATATAGTATGCCTGAGTAGGCATGTCTGGGCAGGCTATGCACGGTAAGCATCGTCCCAGGCTGCCATGTGAGCCACTGGAGTTGTCTGGAAGGTTTCTGCTGAGCTGGGTACACAGGGTGGGTCACACCCAACATCAGTGCTTGGGAACCAGCCTCTGTGCCAGCCAGGTAGAGAACACGAAACATCCAGAATAACCAGGGCAGCAGCCTGGTGTGCCAGATCTTCTGTTCTCCCTAGCAGAATCAACAGTGTGGCAAATGTAGCTCTTAGCACTCTGCTCTAGGAGTCGATCCTGTCTGGACAGGTTGTGGATGTCCATTATTATGACCAATAACCTCAACAAAGCAGAAAGCAGAAAGTGCTATGTGGAGTTGTGGGTTAGAATGTCAGGCACAGTGTGGGCTAAGCCATCTAGAGAGAAAGCTGGCTAGCCTCATCTGGGATGATGAGGACAGGCCGTGAGGAGCTGCTCTGGAGGACTAGACTTGCATCCCGGCTCCCCAGTAACTGGTTGCATGATCAAGGGCAAAGAGAAATTGCTTCCAAACTGCTTCCTTGCTGCTCACTGGAAGTAATCCACTAGTCACTATCTATAGTTAAATGAAGTGATGGGTATCAAGCACTTGACACAGTGACTGTCATGCAATGTCATGCAATATACACTCAAATGATGCTTATGACCATGACTGACAGAACTCCCTTTGGGCGCACAGACATCTAGGCCCTCTGGGGCAACACTCCTGGCCACATCCAGGGCCATTCCGGTTTCATGGGCTGTGCCCGGCGACAGTGACAATGCTGTGCTGGTATACAGGCAGTTTCAATGTTCCTGAACAAGGTGCTAGGTGGCAGGGGTCAGGCTGGAAGTTAAGGAAATGTAGCAACTAGACCCTCTGAAGCTACAAGGCTCCCAGACAGCTCCATTTCTTGCCTCTTCCAGGCCTACAAAGGGACCCATCTTCTGCCTTGTTGGGTCCTTGATTCCCAACGCCTGTGGAAGGAGATAACACTGGGTAGGAGCCTCTAAGTGGGGACATGAGGGGGATAAAGCCCTTCCTTGTCCGCCCCAACTCCCTGGATCACCATCTAGCTTTCCACAGAACCACTGGGATCTCTGGGCCGTGGCCCTGAACTCACCCTGGTCGATAGAGTGCTGAGGCAGTTGGCTGAGCTGGCTGCTGACCACCCCGGCGTAGGTGCGCAGGAACTCCTCCTCACTGGCCGTTAGCTGCAGGGTGAGAGCACTATGGTAAGGGGCAGCACACACCTGCTCCCTGGAAGGCCCTGGCCCAGGCCTGCCTGCCCGCACTGAGTACATGTCCTTTGGCTCTGTGGACCCTTCGGTCCCAGTGTGAGTGCTCTCTCCTCACTAGACGCCTGTTCCCTGGGCCTACAGGCCTTGCCACTTGGACCGTGTCTAGTCTTGGTCCTGAGCCAGTGGGAAGATGTAGGTCTTGCTCAGAGAGGTGATGGTCAATGGGAAATTCCAAATCCCTTCTCTTTTCTAAAGTTGGCCACACCTGCTTGTCTGCTGTTCTCCTCAGTGCCTGCCTTGCCCAGCTGCTCTGTACATGCCTCCCTGGGAGAACACACTATGAGGGGCTGGTGGAGGGGAAGAAAGGAAGGTCAGGGCCTTCAGGGCCTTCACCCTTCTGGTCCCAAACATGTCACGGGGGTGGGAAGACTACCCTCAGTGGTGCCTCAGAAGTGGGCAGGCTGTGCTCTCTCCCTGGGGGGGTGGGGGGGTGCTGAACTGGACACAGAGCTAAGCCATAGGCCCACAATTCCTTCCCAGACCAGGGTAGCCACCCCATAAGTGCTGCGGCATGGCATCCCTTCCCATTCAGGGCAGCAGGTGCCCTCCCCGGGAGGCTGTTCCCCACCACACACTCACGTTTGACCCCATCTTCCTCAGCATGAGCAGCACGCGGACTTTCTGCTGAATGTACATCTCCTCCGGACTCTTCCCGGGTGCTCCCTCACGGTTCATCCCCCTGCCCAGCTCCGGGGACTCCTGCAGAGGACAGGGCAGCACTGGGGAGAAAGGTGGTCAGAGTGAGACATACTCATGTATCGATGCTATAGGTGATGCGCATCTTTCCCATGTAGGCCCTTCCCACCTGCCGTCTCACTTCTGGAGGCGATGGTGAGCTGCCCAGTCCCACTCTTGCCCTATCCACTCCAATGAACCTGTTTCACTCAGCAGCTTATTCCTGGGCAGGGGCTGGAGGAAGCCGCTGGGCAAGCCTGCCACTTCTGTGCATAAGGCTGTTAAGTTGGGGAGACCAGACTTCAGGCCAGCTCTAGCTTCCAGCTTCCCCACAGCAAGACTCCTACCAGGGCTGCAGAAAATGCAGAGTGCATGAAAAGCAAGCAACTGGCACATCTGCAGAAGTAGTATGATCTCAGGTGGTGGCTTGGGCATTTGGCTGAGATCAGTGCCCAGCCCCCAGACCTAGAGACAGCTCTCTGTACAGAAGCCCCTGCCGAGTTCAAGAGGCCAGCTCCTGGGCTGGGCTCCAAGAAGTCCTTCAAGGGGGAGAGGAGACCCCAGGGTAGAGAGGCAGAGGCACTGACAGAGTTGGCTTGCCCCTGTGCTCACAAACCCACCCCACCTGTCACAGGGCAGCTGTGAAGGCCAGCAGTTGTGTCCAGGTGTTTCAGGCCTGACGTGCAGCTAGGCACCGGGAGAGAAGCCCAGGGCCTCCTCCAGGAGGAGCTGGAGGAGAGAAGCGAGTGTGGAGGGGCTTGGGTTACACACTTGTAACTCCTGGATGAGTCAGAAATAACACAGCAGCAGCTGGTGTGTGTGGGGGGGGGTGGAACCTCATCAGTCCCGGAGCCAAGGAGCTGCACAAGGAACTAGGAACAGGGCTGACAGGCCAGCACTCCTCACTCCTGATGTGGGCTGCCCTCAAAGGCCTGCAAGCCCCAGACCAGGGTTTCACCCTGGCAGGACGGCACTCTGTGCCAGAGCCTGGGCCTAGCCTGGGCAGCAGCCGCCTCCCTGTCGACAGTTGTCAATGCTCATCCCCCAAAAACTAATTCCTTACTGGTCCTAAAAAATTGGGCCAAGAGCCGGGTGCTGGTGGCTCATGCCTGTAATCCTAGCTACTCAGGAGGCTAAGATCTGAGAATCATAGTTCAAAGCCAGCCCGGGGCAGGAAAAGTCCATGAGACTCTTATCTCCAATAAACCACCAGAAAATCATAAGTGGCACTGTGGCTCAAGTGGTAGAGCTCCTGCCTTGAGCTGAAGAGCTGAGGGACAGCGCCCAGGCCCAGAGTTCAAGCCCCACGACCACCACCAACAACAACAACAAAAATAATGGGCCAAGTAGGGCTACATTATGGCTGTGCACAGTATGCAGCCTGGGGCTTATTCCAGATCCTTCCTTCATACCTTTAAATGCCCAGACTCCAGGCGCTTTCCCTCTACTGTCTGCAAATAACAACTTGAAAAACTGGGAAAAAGGAGCAACTGCCTCAAACATTGTCTTGGGGGGAACATGCCAGCCTTCAGACAGCCCTTACTTCCCAAAAGGCTGAGCAGAAAAGTGTGGTTCTAGGGTAATACTTCTCCAGTCACACCATTCTCTTCTGCACCCACATAACACTGTTGACCTGAGGTGGGATCCTACACAAACAAAGAGTGAGCCATATCTTGAGCGTGGATCGTGTGACCTTATCTCCTCCCTGATGGCCTCCTCACCTTCACTACCTCTCCTCTCCTTTCCCCTAATTAGTAGACAGAACCATGTAAAAAGATCAGAAGAGGGCCAACTGGACACTGGTGTCTTATGCCTGTAGTCCTAGCTATTCAGGAAGTTAAGAGCAGAAGATCTCAGTTCAAAGCCAGAACATGCAGAAAAGTTCTGAAGACTATCTCCAACTAACCAGTAAAATGCTAGACTACAGGTGTGGTTCAAGGACTGGGTGGGAAAAGCCGAGCAAGAACACAAGGCCCTGAGTTTAAGCTACTGAATAAATACCAGAAGAGATGACATCACTCCCTGCCTAATCCTACCAGAAAATACACACTTCACCCATGCTCCTGATCTAGTCTGCCTCTCCCTACTCCTCCTCTTGGATGTCCCCACACACAGAGAATCCTCTGAACCTGGAATTGGCTTCTGATCAAACTCCACTTGAGCTTTCCTTTCCAGAGAAGCTTCTGACAGCAAAATAGAACCTGATTCTGTGCCCCACCCAAGTCTTCCTGGTCTATAGGCCTGTCACAGTGTCCCAGTTTTCTGAGTACCTGCTTATCATCTCTCCCATGCCTTGCTAGAAGACCTGAGCTATATCCACTTCCCCCATCATTCTGGAGCCTGGAACCTGGGAGGAAGCGTTAGTCAACACTGCCCAGTTGGTTGAATGGAACAGGGCAACAGACTACAGTATCTAAGCTTCCTCTTCTTTATGATATTTACAATTCAGAACCAAATGTATTGTTGGAGGGCAGCTCTGCAAGCAGCTCTGAAGGCTGGCAGCTGTGTCCTGATGCCATGGGGCACCAGAGACACCCAGACCCTCACAAGGAGGCGCTAGAAGAGAAAGGTACATAACCCCAGTCGCTTATGAACAAATTTAGCTTTTCCAAAGAACTTCCAACATACTTGGTTGCCTGAGCTACTATATTCTCCAGAGGACATCAGACATGTTCCTCCAAGCCTTGAAACTGTGAAGCAGGGATCCCAGAAGCAAAAACCTTCCAATTCTGTCCTGAGCCCAAGGGCTAGTTTACGCCTGTGAAAGACATGAAGGGATGCAAGAGACTAGCCACTAGGTGTCGCCCCACCCAAGACCGCTTGAGTTGCAGGGTGTCCTTATCACCCCATAGCTAGTATGGGAAACAGGTGCCTTGCTGGGGCTGCCTTTACTCTAAACCACTGTTACAAATCACATCCAGTCAGCCTGGCTCCATTCATTCCAAAAGCCAGCCCTATCCGGGCAAGGAGTGGTCTGGTTTGTGCTGTCCTGTCCATGGGACCTCTTTCTTGTTGCTGGAAGCACGCCAGGGTGGAATCATTTCACGCAGGGTCCACATTACAAACAATCCTACCCTCTCCCCAGGGAATGGCTTGTCATCTCATCCCCTTGCCTGTGGCAGCCTAGTTCCCAGGACCCCTCATATTGATTTTGAAGGGTTGATGGCTGCTCACAGCCATAGCTTGAGTTGTCAGCCAGAGTTGACTGGGTCTTTGGAGCTGATCATTTCCACTTCAACATACTTCCCTGGCAGAGCTGTTTGTTCCTCCTTCAGGAAACTCCTCGTTTGACATTTCTACAAATTCTGGTCACCTAGCATTTTCAAGCTCTTGCTTTCAGCTGATTCTTCCTGCCTAGGGCTGGATCTGGGGCAGAACATGACCAGAAGTGCATGTTTATACCCTTCACACACCAGCTTAAATGCTCTAGAAATGCCGTGATGCATTGACACAATTCTGTCCTAATCTGCAATAAGGATGTCAACGTGACAAGAATTAATAATTGAAAAGGATAAATCATAATCAACTCAAACAACACAGGCATCGCAGCCAAGGGTATACTACAAGCACATCACAGCATGTTGAAGTTTGTTGCCTAGCCAAGCAAATGTGCTATAAAATTTTCATCACAATTGTGACAAGCATCACATTAACTTGAAATTGAGAATTCTTATTTCTCCCTGTAGTAAAAGAGAACTGGTCTCCATTAAACCATGTGTAAATTACATAAGCTCTGCTACTAATTTAGATACTAATTATTCATCCAAATTTAAGAATCAAAAATAGGGGCTGGGAAGGTGCTCAGTGGTAGAGCGCTTGCCTTGCATGCCTGAGGCCCTGGGTTCAATTCCTCAGCACCACATAAGCAAAAAGAAAAAAGCCAGAAGTGGCACTGT